CTGTTACTAGTATCCTTGAGGGAATATTCTCAAGAGAATATCCTCAAGTAAAGTGAAATTAATATTTTCACGTGACGGAATCTAAAATGATTATTTAATTTAATAAATATGTAATTCAATAGGTGTAGCAGCATGGATTGACTGCACCAAAACAAAACATCAAAACATTAGGTATTAGGTTAAGTCAACATCATGTCAAATTTATGAAGTTACTTTCGTAGGCATGGCAAGCTTGCGCCATGAAAAGAACATGCGCAGAATACAGAAGGCTGTACCACATTTGTAGAACCTTTTATATTCCACCAAAAAAATTAGGTAAAAAAAAGAACCAAAAAAACTTAATGATAACGACATGGAATAAAACAGAATTTAAGTTTAACTATATAAAAAAAATGACCTTCTGTTCTTTGCAAGTAAATCAAGGAAATTTTATATTTAAATTATTTCGGAACTCAAAAATAAATCTCTAAAGAAATACTAAATACAATGATAAATTTGATTATATGATAAAGAGATAATACGTATAAAATGATTTACTTACATGGAGCTCGCAGCACGCCAAAAAAACTCTTCCTTTTTATGTGGAACTCTATAAATGAATATTGATTTATTAAAATTAATTATTATATTATTATTAATGAATTATATTCTTCCCCAAATTATCTTTCTTGCTCCAATTCCGTCACTTTAAGGTGAACAATTTCACCGGTTGGCGTGGCTGCGTTGACGAGTTCAGACCAAAACTGACCGCTTCGCTTCCGCACAAAATCGATCTTCCTTTCAAAGCGATAACAGCGCGTGTGGGGAAAATGTCGATTCAAAATCGATCGTAGGCGGGTAATAAAAATTTCTTGAGGGGTTTAAATTGGACTAGTCAGTAGCGTAAACGCTACAAAGGCCATCACATTTTTTTACATTATATCAGTGCAGGTATTTTTTGTTTTTAATTTTTAAACAGTAGTAATCCAGCTAATAGTATGTAATATGATCGTGCATGTAAATAATATTATTTTATTAAATATAACTTTTGTTGATGATTAAATTTTCAAATTGAACAATGCAGCTTACCTTGAACCGCTATAGAATACATCGTTAGATAATAAATTTTTACTACGAGAAAAGTAATAGTTAGAAGAAAATTATTACCAAATAAAAGTCGTTTACATATATATATATATAATATATATATATATATATTATATATGTATATATATATACCTATATATTTGTATATATATATTTATATATATATATATATATAATATATATATATATATATAATATATATATATTTATGTATATACTCCAAGTAAAAAATGATTATAATCTAAAAAGGTGCGTATGCAGAATCTGTTTTTCTATTATTGAAAGCTCTTTTATGTTCTGCTATACGTTTGGTAAAAGTTTTACCAGTTGACCAATGTAAGTTTTTGGACAGTCGCCACATTTAAGTTTGTATATACCACTGTGTAAGTACTTTTTATTTTGGCTTTTTTTGTTTTTAATATATTTCCAAAGTTGTTTTTGTTCTAAAGCTGCTGTTATTCCTTTCTTAGTTATGTATTGGCCATTTTTGTTGATATTTTGCCTGTATATGCAATCAAGCAGAAGTTACTGAGTTTTTCTCTGGTGATGGAAAAACTAATTTCAAGGCTTCTTTGTGTAGTTTTTGATTTAAAATTTTATTATTTGTTTGTTCGTTGTACCCATTATTTTCTGTTATTTGCTTAACGATATTTAATTCTGTCTTAAAGTTGTATTTCAACATCAAATTTTCTACATCCTATGATAGGCTGCCAGTTTATGTTGTATAGGATGGAATGATGGGATTGTGTATAGTCGTGTTAGTATGGGTAGGTTTATGAAATATGGTGAACTTATCTTTGTTTTTAAGTCTGATAATTTTTACAAATCGTTATGCTTTTCCCTCCCCTTTTATTTAACGTGTTATATGTAGTAATCAGATTAATAGCAACGAAGATAATATGATGTAATGGTGAAGACAATGATGATGAATAAACATTTTGAATTTGACAATAATAAAAATAGAATTTAATTACTATTTTTTTTGTTTCTTATTTATTCTGTAAACAATAATGTAATCTGAAAATTTCCTCTGTAACTAGACGTTTCGCACCGTATTCTTTCTATTTCTTGTGATACCTCACATGTCGTTCTATAAACCTAATTAATGCTTCTTCGACCGGTCGCCATGTTTGATTTTTGCCATTGTATTCTTTACGTTATAATCTTTCCAGAGATACATGAATTGCTTCGACTTTATAACTATACCCTGTATATTACAAAAAATGATAGACAGAAAGAATAAGAAGAAGAGAAGAGTATAGGCCGTTGTGAGGGGTAGTTTCTTCGGCGTTAGTCAAAATTTTACGTCAAATTTTTAATCTTTTCTCGTTTTTAATTTAATCGGAACTAATTAAGACTTGTTTAATTTAATCGGAAAAGACCGGCTAATTTGTTAAAAAAAGGTGATTTATACTCATAGTAATGTGTCAGTTTTAAAAGAGTAATCACCGTTTCTATGCTTTTAAGTATCTGAGAGATATGTGTCACCTACAACAACTACAACATACAAAAAATACCCACATTGTTCCAGTTTGTTTTGGAAAGCCGAGTCCTAGGTTTCACGTCCATTAGCAGGATTTCAACCTCAAATTGTTGTCCTAAGAAGCAGTTTCAGACCATCTCTTACAGTATGGAGATGAATTTCTTCGTGTGGCAGAGAAGCTAGAGATAGATAGGTAGATAATAGTCTACCTAGCCTATTCTGTCTACCTCCTCACAGCAAACAATGGTCGGGTTCTTACACCCGTACCATGACAAAAAATTTTTCAATTTTTTAATGTGTCTGTGAAGTCCAGTGTCGGTTTTTTATATGTTTTTTTAAGAATTTTAACAACTAAAGTAAAAGTAATTAAATAAAAAATCAATATTTCAACATATAAGGAAATGAGATCTCTCCATTGTAGTGGTATTTATAAATTGACCATAGCTCCGATGATGGCTTTGTAAAGCCGAAAGCGCTCAGCTAGGAATTATTAAAAATATACACACTTCAAAAATACTTTTTTGCCTTTTCTTTTGACTTGTCATAAGTGTGTACAAAAAACATATCAGTCTTTTGATTTTTAAATAAATGTATAAGATATATGCGTTGTAATTTATTTCTAGATTTCTATTTGTTTCTTTGTCCGTTTAAGGATTAAGAAGATCATATACTCTGCTTACTTCCTGAAAAGTATTTGCTTTAGTAGTCGTATTTTTACCACAACAAATGATTCTTGTTCTTTTTCTTTTACGGCACTACAGCAAGATTGAGCATTGGCCTCCTTTATTTTTTGCCTCCATCCTATACGGGCTCCTAAAAGGGCTTGCGCGTCACTGTTTAGTGTGTCTTTCCAGTGCTTTCTTGGCTTTCCAACTAGTCTCTTTCCCTGAATTTTAGCATTAAGTGCTTTTTTTGGTAGCCTATCCTCTCCCATTCTTCTTCCACTTCCCAAGTCTGGCAGTGGTGCTTCCTTATAAAATTGATAAAGCCCTTTGTTGTATCGACTTCTGAAAATTCCGTTTTCGCTCACAGGTTCTAGTATTCTCCTCAGTACTTTCCTTTCTAATGTATCGACTTTGCTTTTGGATGTTTCTTTCAAGACTCATGCTTCACTGCCATAGCATGCTATTGGTGGAATTAAGGTTTTATAGATTCTCATCTTTGTATTTCGGTGGACATTTTTAGACCGAAATATATGAAGGAGGACAAAATAATTATTTCTTCTTTTTCTCATCCGTCGGTATATATTTCTAGTCTCAGGTATGTAAACTTTCCAACCGTTTCAATGTCATCTTTATATATAATGTTTTTTTTTGGACTATATTTATTCCCGTCTGTATCATTATTTTTTTCTTTGTAATTTCCAGACCTAGCAATTTTGTTTGCATTTTTAACTATGCGTATGTTTCCTGTGCTCCTGTTGACGTTCTACTCATAATATTAACATAATCGGCATGAGCGGCCAGTTGAACCGTTCGGTTGGTCAGTAGATTTCCCAGTCTAGTTTAAATAAATGATTATGTTGTTAGTATTTATCCACTGTACATAACTTATGTAATTTAATTCCATACGGATGCGTTTTTTATTTGCTACCAAAATCCGTCCTAAAGTTAATACAGCTCAAAAATTTTTGTTCTATACTTTTGAAACTTACATTGCAAAAAGATTAACAATTCCTGAAAAAACTGAACCAACTGAAAGAAACTAGAAAGAACAGAGATGAACAGAGAACAGAGAGAAGAACATGCTACAGGATCATCGATGTATCAACATGGGAAGACAGAAGAACAAATACAACCATCAGAGAAAGGCTCCAGTATACACCACTACGGAAGAAGCTGAGAATAGGACAAGATGTACTTCAACAAGCCACAAGAAGAATCGTAAAGACCAGGAACATCTTTGTCAGGAATCGGATACAGATGATGTACAGCTCAAAACACCGACTGATAGACGATCTGATCAGGATCTAGCTGGGTGGTTGCTGAAGACAACCAATCAGGAAAGTAGGTACAATGTTAAAAACAAGTACTTACAGTAAAATATGCCAAAGAGTCTAAGACAGTAGATTCATGATCCGAAGAGCAAACGGTTCAGTCAGTGGATGGTGCATTAAGAAAAAAGGCTAAAATGTCTTAAGTTTGACATATCCTAAGTGTGAAATTTATATTATTAAGACAATAAACGTTTTTATTTTTATTATATCTAAATAGCATTTGGACGAAAAGGACTGTGTAGGCTAGATACTAATTCTCCCACCTCAACAATGGAAGTCAGATTATTATTTACTTTACGTTTACGACTAGCGATTACGCAATAATTCTGTTTGTGTACACGAAAATACTTCAAAACTGAAGAAAAATGATTTTTTTATTATAAAGATACATGTGGTCTCTTTCTGTAGTACGAAAATTGACATGCTTTCATGAAAAATAAAACTATTTTTAAATAAGAACTCTATATTAATATAAATGTTCCCGACAGTTTTTTACTGTTTATTTTAACAACATAAAGTTAACAATTATTGTAATAAACTAGAATAAAAAATTTCCTTAAAATACTAAATATTACAAAGCATTAAAAGTACGAAAGTATTAGTTATAAAAAGTTATTTTTATACAAATGTCTCATGACTGATAAACTAGCTCTTTTAAAACCTGTAGAATCCGTCTTCTGTACAAAGTGACTAATATCTTCGCTTGGGGAATCTGCGTCCAATAGATCAGCGATGTTTGGTGTCTAAAAATATTTTCATAATTAATTATATTTCAGAATTTTTTTAACGGAAACTAATATAAAAATATGGGAATACGTGATTGCCGGAGAAAGGCGATGACTAGTGAGGAGGACTGGGGAGAAATTCTTAAGGAGGCTAGGACCCACGCAGGTTTGTAAAAAGAAAAAGAAGATGATGATTATTGTAAAAAAATATACAAAATTGCAATTAACAAAATTTTATTGTGAGAGCGCCCACCAAAGTGACGTGGCAAGTGGCAAGTAGCAAGTAGCACGCGTCTAGCATGTTACTTCAAATGTAACCAATGCAAACGAATGATTAGAATGAATGACGTCACTGTCATTTTGGTGTGCGCTGAATCATTCGTTTTCATTGGTTACATTTTAAGTAACTTGCTAGACGCGTGCTACTTGCTACTTGCTACTTGCCATGCCAGTTTGGTGGGCGCTCTCCCTTATTAAGACACGATAGAAGGTAGGACGTAAACATATTCAGGTACAAGATAATCTTTTATAACTTAATCGAAGAAAAAAGTAGTCTGCAATGTAGCATTTTTAAATTCCTTGATATATATTATAATCCCCTCGTATATATTTAAAACATCTAAGACTATTTTTAGTGTATTTCATGTCCTATTTGTACAGTTTAAAAATACCCAAAATATATTTCGATACCTTTTGTGTCACCACGTTGATATAAAAACGTTTTAAAAGTTTGTTTACATTTCACAGATACATATTTTCTCGGCATTTTCTTAACGGAAAGTCAGTTTTAGAATATTCTGCGTTTCAAATAAATATTCCGGTTATATGTTTTGTTTATATTAAGTTGGGAAGCAAATGATTTTTAAGAATTACAGATTTTCTACTGAGATCGCTGTCAGGGGCAGTTGGCTTCAGTGTGGATCCAAATTTTACGTCAAATTTGAAATGTTCCTCGTTGTTCGTCCCTTTTCATGGAAAATATGTAGTGAATAATAGCAGTTCAATGTGTAGTTGCAGTTTAATTGAGGTTTGGAAGAATCTTTGTTTCCATCCTCGTTTTGTTTCTCCCTGGTTGTCATCCCACACTTTTTGGCAGTTTGGAGATGAATTTGTTCGTGTGTTCGTTACGCAGAGAGTTTAAGTCCAGTTTCTACCCCCAGAAATTTCAGTGAAGCCCAGTTCTACCCCCAGAAATTTAGGTGAAGTCCAATTACAGAAAATTTAAAGTAGTTTAGTGGAACTCATGTAACCATTTTTGTTTTAAACTTTTCAAGGAAAAATAAACATTAAAATAATAATTGCTTTCATAACAATTTAAAATTTTGATAAATATTATTGTAAATTTTGGGGCGTGGTCTTAGCTGTCATTATTTGTTCAGTTGTAAGATTTTATGTTGACATATGCCAGCTAGCTTTATTATTTTTGTGACATTAGTTTGTTTTGTTTTTAGAAAAAGGTCAACCTTTATGAATAGTCTTATTTAAAAGAATTCTTTAATTGTCATGATTTATTTCTGCCACAGTTTATAGCCAGTAACTAATAGCCCAGTAACAATTTTTGCATAGTTTTGTGTTTTTGTTTTTTATTATTTTGGTATAAATCCTTGTACCTATTTATATCGTAAGTATTTTTGTAACTGTTTGTTGTAAGACAACAATAAATGTTAATGTTAGTTTTTCTTGACTAACTCTCTTTTTGAGTTTCATTTGAAAAGGTATATTTTTCATTTGTAATAATTATTTCAATAGTTACAACTAGTTGCTATAATCGTTATAATTTGGCACCGCGAAGCGGCGTCCTTTTTAAATTGCTAGAGGTCTTTCTTATGTTTTGTTTTGTTTCTTCCAAGAGAAATATGTAAGTACCCCTTTGTTTCATTTTTTGTAGTTGCCCCAATCCAACCCCTTGCCATTCAACTTATCCACGACCCCAGCTCTCCAAATAAACCCTGAATGCCGTTGGCATAAGTTTCGACTTGTTTTGCTTGCCCTATGCCCACCCCCAAAATATTGTCCCAAGATTTCAACCCCCATAGCAATACCCTGTGGTAGGCAAAATTTCGTTACAGCAAAATCAAATTAAAAAAATTGTTTATTTATGTAAGAACTTTTTAATACAAATACAATTATATTGAATTTAATATAAATTGCTGGTATTAATCTTTAAAAAAAATTAGAATATCAGTTTTTGTTTTTCGGTGAGACGAAAGAAGATTCATTCTTTAAATTGCAATTGATGCAATTTTTAAAGTAATTTACCCATTAAAATTCATTTATTTTAACAGTTTTATATTTATTATCTCATTTTACAGTTACTTAGTAAGGATTGTATTATTTAAGTGCGGTTGAAATCAAGACCTTTTTATATTAAAAAAAATCCCAGTATAATTTTGCACATTTTGCGCACCTTGGATTGCAAAATTATTATGCAAAAACTATTAAATCGATTTTAACAAAATTTAGCACACCTTTTATTTGAATTATATTGTAATTTCAAGTTAAAGTCTCAGTAGTAGTAGTTGGACCTCAGCGGTTCAACAGTACAGGACGTGCAGCGAAGAGCGTAGCCACGAGCAGCGAAGCGTGCTTTGGTGGGGGCAATCGACCTGAACGCAACGGAGCTTGTTAGCTCCGGGTGAGTAAGACCAGAGAACATACGAACACAGAGAAGCGACACGAGGCCCGGAATTCGTGTATCTTTTCTGTATACGCATGACCCAAATAAGGTGCTTTACTGTCAAAAACACGTGCGTTTTCTTCAATTTTAAGTTGCTTACGATAGTCCGTAGGCATCTGTGGTAAACTCTCGACTATACAAGTGCATTTGACCATTTATCTAATTATTTAGTAGTTAAAAGTTTATAGTTATAGTTTATAGTTATAGTTAAAATATATAAGTTAAATATATAAGTTTATAGTTATAGTTTATAGTTAAAAGTTTAATTTATAAGTATTTAAAATGTCTTCTGGTTATTGTTGTGCGTTTCGCGGATGTTCATCTGTGACAGGAAAAGGAATAAGTTTATTTAGATTTCCTAAGAATAATAACAGGTAATTACTATTGCTTTGTAATTATTATTAGTTATTACATAATAGTATTAATTTGACTTTGAGTAAGCCGACACCGACGTGTCCGCCCGAGCTCTCGTTAAGTGAAGCAATAAAAAAATAAATTTTGGTTTGCCAAGGGATAGTTCAGAATAAAAACCAGAGAACTACGAACACACATTAAATTTATTGTCTCCGAAGGCTCAGGTCAAAAAATCAACACAGATGTTGGCCTACTGGTGTGAAAGCGCTCGCAGACAACAATACGAATATAGTATTTTTAGGAAATAAAAATATATAGAGGGTTTTATACACGAGAATATTTGATTTAAACGAAACAAAGAAATTCCTAAAATGCTCAAACTAAAAATTGTTGGAAACATAATTAGATCGAAAATTGGGAAAATCTTAAAATTATAACAGAACAAGACTTCAAAATAAAAACATGATTGCAAATAAACAAACTTACATTAACATAACTTCAAATATTTGCTGTCTTTTTCACCAAACAAACTTACATTAAATTATGAAAAAACTAAATGCTCATCTACTTTTTGCTATATACAAAAGTTGTCTGTCAATGTTTAATTCGTTAAATATAAATAACAAAGATCAAATATATGGATCGGAGTACACAACATATTTAGGGAATAAATATTTAAATGGGAATTACAAATAAAAAATATTAAAACTTTATTTATTGTATATCTCAATATTTAGTGACAATTTTGAGACTTAATTAGGAGAAAACTGTAAATTTATTAAGATGAGATATTGACAAAAGTTAAATACTTCATTACTTACAATACACTTAGAATATACTAATACTCTTATAGTTGTAAGTAATGAAGTATTATTTATAAATACAAAAAACTCTTTTCTACTAGTCAAACCCTTTCATTTGATACCCATATTGAAGTAGTTGTGAAAAAATAAGTAATCCGCTATTGAGTAGCGGCGTCCATCTTGGATATACAATGATACTGAATGTATGTAGTGTATGTATAGTCGATTCGCTAATCTCAGACACAACTATCTAGTATTTTAGTAATTATTTTATTGCGAAAGTTAGTTACATTTTAACAGACTAGAACTGGATGACAATTACTATATTTACAACCAAGCACATATGCCCATAGCCAATATTAAGAGTAAACAGACATAAATCTTACTCCAATCAATCATTATTTATTTACACCGTTATATAATTCCACAACAGACAACGGAAGATTTGACCAATAATTTAAAGGTAAATGCTCCAAATATACATTTTTACTTCAAGAAGTTAAAGGTTACGGAGTACCAAGCAAACTTTAAAGTTTCATATCCATTGGATTATAAAAATGAAGTTCTCAATCCCAGTATCTGGCCTGAAGGTTCAATGGTTCGTCGTTTTGACTTCAAGTATAAGAATTGTACTAACCGCAGTTAACAACAAAACCAGAAATAATTGTTACAAATCCGGCTTAGGCAAACTAGATACTACAAATAATTTTAAAGGCAATACCAATCAACTAAAAATCGTATGTATTAACTCTGAATCTATTGTAAACAAAATAAATTGTATCCAAATATTAGTTTAAACTGAAAGTCTGGATTTACTATGTATATCCGAATCATGTGTAATGACAATAATATAAATTCGTTTTATCTTCCTAATGCTCTCTTGTAATGATTCGTAATACTTTTTTGATTATTTTTTAGGTTATTAGGATAAAGATAATTTATTAGGAAATTCCACGACGAACAAATTATATCTTGTATCAACACAAGCCAAAAAGAATCGGTGTATTATTGTATTATCAACGTCAACATCAGAATAAACAAAAAAGTATTTTCATCTATGGTTCCATCAATACGATTTTCACCATTACTTTGCGTTGTGCGATGTATTTGCAACCTTTTGTAAATCAAAAATAATTACACCATTTAGAATGTCAACAAAAGCCGGCCCTGCATGTAATTATTTT